TTGATTTTGTTGGCAGTTAAATAGTCGAAATTTGGTTTCTATTAAGATACCGCCTAAAATATGAGCCTCATTTTACACTCCAATTTGCTGTAGGAAATTTTTTCGAAATTTTTTTCGTAAATTTATAAGCAATTAGAAGTGAAATAAACGACTGAGTGAAGAATTCAGCCCCACTTGAATACTCAATTTATCGGGATTCCCGCAATATTTGTGAGAAAAAATATTTTTTTTTGACTTGTGTTGAAAGATTTACCATTTCCAAAGACCGACAACATTTGATGGGAAAAGTCGCCGAAGTACAGTCAGAAAAGCGGTGTGGTCTTACGAATGAAACAAAAATTCGCATCGATTCGTCGGATTATGCTATCATTTTGAATGATAGAATGTTAAATAGAAAAAAGATAAATGTGTGCTTAATTGTATCATAATTTGAAATTGTGTGATACTGTTTGCTAATAGAATTTTGGAAATTTCCGGGATTCGTTCCTCTTCACTTCAGCCACTCAAAGAAGTTTAGTTCGAGACAATCACATCACTTCGCGATTCTCAGTCAAAGTTTTTGGTCATCAACCACAAACTTACGATTAGCGCCGCTTTATTATTCTCGAAAAGTCGTTTATTTACTCATAAATGCAAATCACATTGGTAATCGTAATGTTTTCCAAATTCCTTTCCGTGGTTTATTCGAGTCAGTGCCACATACCTCCCACTGATTCCACAAAATACTTCGATTTCTTCCAGGAGAGTTACGGCATTATTGGACACGACAAATCAAAATGGAATCGCAATGAAGAATTATTGCTATACTGTCGAGACCTCTGCTCCCAACCACGTACAGGCGTGAATCTTTGTTGTCCATGATTATTCATTCTATAACCGGAAATAACCAGAAGTCTTCCAGTCTGAGTCAGAATATGTAAACCACGTGAAGGAGTTAAGGCCAAAATCAATATCCAAATAGTGTCCAATAAATCCTCAAATTTGTCCAGTTGGAAAATTGGCCTTTATGTGAGGAAAACAATAAAAGCTGAAGACGTGGTCGCTTTCTATGCTAACGTGGCAAATGCGTAGCAGCAACTTTCTGAACATTGAAATTTTTGCAGAATGTTTACGGGAAGGATTTTAGTTTTAGTTCCGCTATGTAACAATAAAAAAGGTCGACTGCTAATAGTGAAATTTTCCAGGGGAAAAAAAAATTATTTCACAATTAAGGTTGAATTTCAGGCAGAACGATGAGAATGAGAATAAAAGAATAAGGATGTGTGCAGAAAACTCAAGGACGACAGATATTTTCAGGAAGTTTTTTTATGATAAGAAAATATTTTACAAACATTAATAATTTCCACTTGAATATCACGAAGTTTGAAATGGTGATTTTTCTTCGTGCTTTCTAAGACTTTTTTTTGTTATATCTTACGATCAAATTTAAACTATTAAATGGATTTAAATATGTTTTGAGAAATCAAACGGCAACACTCACTTTGCAACGATGTTTGAAGATGAAATATTTGAAGCAAGCACTATCTGAAGAGAAAATGAAATGATTTTTATTAAAGGAAAATTAATAATTTCCATTTGTATTAAAGCAAACAATTTTTGTCCGTTATCAATGATCCATTTTTTTGACATTCAAAAAAGCATAGGAAAGTGGAAAGTACTTTTTCTGTATTGAAAATGATGGATAAAAGGGGAGACAGTGCAATTGAAATAGTATCGCAATCTGGGCCGTTTCAAAGATTAGCTGAATTCAGACTAAAACACAAACACTTCCTTATCAGCAATAATCAAGAATCAAAAAATTCATTTTTCATCATGCTTTCCCATCATTCTTCTAATCGCAAGGAGATCATACCACCGCTTTATATTACAATCTCCTTCGGTTGTCAATTTCGTCTTCCGGAGTGTCATCGCATTTTCTTCATGCCATACTACTTACTACTCGTTGCAGGTTCCGCTTTGATTTGCAAAATTAATTGCCAATGACATCATTCCCAGTAGGCAAATTAGACCATCACACATTATCATCAGAGCCAATAACAGATGAATAGCCAAAGAAAGTGAAAAGCAAACCAATGAAATACATTGGTAAAAAAAATTGAAATTATTTTAATAGCGATAAAATGAAATTAGAATTAATATGTGCATAATTATGATGTATTTTTCGCTCTGATACCAGATTTCAGCATTGATATTTCTCAACAATTGTAAAATAAAAGCTGATAACCAGTACGCCAAAGCATCGAGTCATCTCAATTTTCTCTCGCAATTTCTGAAATTCCTAAGACATGGTAAAAAGTTACATTTTTTAAATTTGGTAAGCTTCAAATTAATTTAACTATCCGAAGGCAAAAGTTTAATTGAATTTTCTTTGTACTATTAAAAAGCCATCGAGAAAATTATATGAATGATATCCAATGAAATTATGAATATAAATCATTTCAACACAGCATATTTTTTGATTTTTTTGCAGATGAAAACAAAATGGAAAGTTGGACAGCGATGCCGCCAGCAACAGAAGAAATAACAACAGCACAATCACTAACTGAGGAGGACACAACGGTACCACCACAAGCAGAGGACACAACAGTGCAACTGCTAACGGAAGACACAACGGTATCATCACTAACGGAGGACACAACGGTATCATCACTAACAGAGGAAACAACGGTGCCACCACTAACAGAAGGCACAACGGTACCATCACTAACGGAGGACACAACGGTATCATCACTAACAAAGGAAACAGCGGTATCATCACTAACAGAGGAAACAACGGTGTCACCACTAACAGAAGGCACAACGGTACCATCACTAACAGACGACACAACGGTATCATCACTAACAGAGGAAACAACGGTGCCACCACTAGCAGAGGACACAACAGTGCCACCACTAACGGAGGACACAAC